CACCTTATTAATAATTGAAATTGATTCAAATCAAATTATCCGGTTTTGCACTCTTCCACAAACTCCTTAATATTGTAGTGCACCTTCTTCTACAAATAATAACATCACAGTAGGAATACAAATTTTATTATTAAACCTTTGTTATTTGAATTGAAGAATGTTCAACCCTAGATTGACACAGTGTTTCATCTTACCACTTCAGTGTTCCATCAACCTCAATTTTTCTTCCGCTCATTCTATTTTTAAAAGTGAATTTGAAGATTGTCTTTTATATTCAAACTGCCGCAGCGAATCCATCACAGATTACCGAAAGCAAAGCAGGTGGAGGTGTGACGACCTCGGACTATGTGATGTACAACTTGGAATATTTTTATTCTTTTCCTCTCAAATAAGACTTTGAATGCTTGAGCAACACCATCACAGTAACAAATTCTAATTTTGCTCTTTTTGCAAACAAAACAAAAACAGCAACAGTCTGGTGTTAATATTATTTTCTAACAAGGCTTGTTTTTTTCCCCATTACACTACATTCTTTTACTCTCTCCTAACAACAAAATTCAGGTTGACGGTGTTGTGATTTTCATCATCATCATTGACTAGTAGTACTTTTGTTTGACTAACCATTTTCATTGTGTGTTTTGATATATCGACAACTTGATACTATTTGAATACTCTCTCAGTTGTATATATTAATACCATTTTACTACCATTTCTACATTATTATCATCATTATTCTGTTGCTGTATTGTTCTGTTCATCCATTCTTTCCTAATTCTTAGCCATCACCCACTCCAACAAATCCTCTTCAAGTTTTCATAATTATTTATATTAATTGAAATATTCAAACCAACTAATCCAAATTACAACTCTAATCCTTCTCCGTTTAAAACATTCTCTATTTATTATATAGTCCTATTACTAGTATTTACTCCATAGTATTTTCAATAATTATTACTCCTTCTCCATAATTATTTTGATTCTGCTATTACTCTATTACTCTTTCGTGTTACTTATCCCAATTGAAAAACAACAACAATGGCTCATGCAAGATTATGCCAAGTTGAACAGAATGTTATTGATGTTCAACAACAATGTAAAGTTTCATGTTCTTCACTCATCAGTTGTGAAGAAACTGAAAAATCATCAACTACCAAAACTCTGCAGTCCTGTCTGCAGAGTAATTCGAGTCCAAAACCTTCTCTCATCCTAACTGTGTGTAAGAATGGTAAGGAGTATTCAATGAGGAAGAGGGAAAACAAGTCCACAAAACGACCATCCAACAGATTGGAGGAAACTCAAAAATCCAAACGTCGTCACTTGGAAGACTTTCCTCTTGTTTTAACTCCAGTTTGCTCCTCTTTCAATCTTCAATCACAAGATTCAATTTACTCACCAATCATCATTACTCCATGCACCAGCAATTGA